ATTGCTCAGCAAGATTTTGTGTCATTCTTCTTTGCACAATCAACCCAACTATAGGGCCTCCAGAGCAGTCTTTGGCACTTTGCAAGTTGTTTGAAAAATGTTTTTAGATTATTACCGATTTATTCTAGTGCTGCTGACCCAACAGATCACAGCAAAACAGATTACTTTAACTCGGTTTGAGATAATTTGATAGATAGTTCGAAATACAAGTGAGTCATTGTACCTGTCATTTGTAATAATTACTATGAAGTATCTTACTGATTATTTCTCACATATCTACTTACCGAGTAGATCACGAGGGGGAAAATCCTCAAATCTTCTTCCACCTTCGTGTTCATGTCGTGTTTTATTTGAACCACTAGAGGGCGGCAATATGGTCTACGAACCTGCGGTCAACAAAGCAGGGGAAGAAGCTGGGGGAGGACAAAGAATAAAGAGGTGTGTTTTATTCAAAGGGTGGGATCCTCAGCATGGAGTATAAGTGTGTTTAGGAAAGCTAGAAAACTTGTTCGCTCACGTTGTGAGTTGCTCTCTGCTGGGACTCAATCAAGGTTTGCTCCATTTGTCAGGTATGTACCAACAGAACTTCTACGGCTCCCAGGATGTGAGGGCTAGGTCACCAGGGGTAGTTTTACTTGTCACCTCAAGGGCTGGAAAGCAGCCTTAAATGGTATGAACCTCTGTTCAACAGGTTTATCGAAATTTTAATGAAGTTGGATATCAGACAACGTAAATTGAATATGTTTGGAGTTCGCGCATGCGTCGCTTTTCTGCGTAGCTCTGTTTGGGAGTCACGTAGCCAAACGCTTCCCTACTTCTTTTTCTATTGAAACTTTTAGTCCAAGTTTAACTCAAATATGTCCATTTTTTAAGGAGAGTGTTAAAAAGCTTGACAATATTACCCATTTTCAGGCATGTACTTGAGAAAAATGCGAAAATACAGTAGTTTAAATACAGTAATTTACATTGATAATAAATTTGGTTCCCTTCAAAAGGGTCGAATACATGTTACTTACTCCTGGTCTAAAAATTCCAAGATAAACCCTTTTCACCATTGTTTTTTGTGGTTTGCGTCAGGAGTCTGGATGCAGTGCTGGATTTATAGAAAAATAAAAAAAATCCTGGCCATCTTCTCATGATTGTGATGCTGAGGTTACTTTTTGTCCTCTGCTAGCAGAGGGATTGAGGCAGAGAAGATAATGTGTGTAACAAGTTAAGCTTGTGATGGACATTCAAACCCCTCAAATATGATACATGTCCAGCAGGCACCTCAACGGTGGGTTTTTCCTCTGGGGTTGACTGACTGGCTCTCAGGTGACGTGTAAAGATGCAACGCAGCAGCAGGCTGACTCAGCAGCTTTGGGAAAGATGGGTGACCCTGCTGAACTACCTTGAAAATAACCCAAAGGTAACCCACAACTTTCTGACGGGACTTTTTCTTTGAGCGAATGCCTTTCCTTACAGCCGCATTATGCCCCTCTCTCCTCTAACAGGTAGCTCAGGTGAGGAGCACCAGGATGGGGCAGTACCTCAGCAGCCGCCCTCTCTTCGCTTTCACGCTGCTGCTGTTCGCCGTGATGGCTTCACTGCCTGTCGGAATTTTCTTGGCATTTGCTCTGGTCACCGTTGTTATGTCGGCAGCGGGTTTTGTTTTCTTTGAAGGTCGGTATCCTGAGGTCAAACTGTACCCCTGCATTGCGGTGTCATTTTGATCGCGCCTGTTATTTCTGGTTGTGTAGTGTTGCTCCTGTTTGTCGGAGGGCTGACTCTGCTGTCCGTGCTGTCTGGCATCGCCATCTTCTCTGTCGTGGCTTCAGTCGTCGTTAATGCTTTCTTCATCACCATTCCCAGCCTACTGCAGTACAAAAACCCACAAACAAAGGTAGCGTACAGCCTTAATGATACGTGGCATTTATCAGCTTTCTAAGGAACGGCCCGCACACTCATTTTCTGATCCTGTCCTTCCTTCCAGAAAGATGTAAACCATGAGACGGTTGGTGGAGTAAAGCTTCAGGACTAAAAAAGATGTAGCAAACGTCTTCATCCTCTCTGCTTCTGAAGTTGGGGATCGGCTCATTTGAAACTGTGAAGGGGATCCAAGAATCCGATCCACATGTACTACGTGGTCACAGCTGAGTTTGGCAGCTAAGTGTTATCCAAACATCATGGTCATTACTTCTGAATTATCTTGAACTTGTCAAAATATTGACTTATTTTCACCCACCTTATTCACTACCGGGGCAGTTCTGCTCAGGGCCATTTCATCATCACTGCCCATGATTTTATAGTTTTATCTGAAGGAGGTTTGGAAATGTGTTGGCTGCAAATCGACGCAGCTCAAGATAATGTGCTCTGAAAGTTAGGACTAAATTATTTGCTTTGTATTGTAATATATGTATTCGTATTTATCATAAATGTCCCTATCATTGTTCTGCAAATGCATTTAAACGAAGAATTCATTCATAAGATGTTTTTTTTTATTACTGAACGTTATTTGATTGGATTTGTAACCCTTTTATGTGTATTTATTTGGCCAATAACTGCAAACCAGCAAAGAGAATATGTTTTTCATTATACCGAGCTGACATTAAGAGTAGACAGGTTAGATGGGAAAAGTGGCCTTCATACGAATGAACATTGTTTAACTTGTTTTTAAAGATTGTTTCTTTTGTGACACCAATGCTTTTATTATTTTTTTTAACACTGTAGGGTTAAACATATCTAAAACAACTCCATTCTGGATTAAAGGAATCATTCAGCCCTGAACCTTCCTCTGACCTTGATTGATTGTGCTGTTGTGTTCTTTCCCATGTCTTCTTCTGTTCATTGAGGAATAATTGTATCATTTTAGTGTGCCAATACGACACGGAAGTCTTCATCCAGACAAACTTTTTCATCCAATATTATT